CTGTCGCGACTCTTCGAACCCCAGGTGAGACCCCGAGGGCATCGTGATGCCCACTCCGCCTCGTGTGCCGGTGCGGATACCGCACCTTCCCCAAAACAGGCCTTGTGCAGAGCGAGAGGTGGCCGCCCCGCTTAGTGTGCCTGTCAGCGTCCAGCAACGCAGCTAAAAAGCCTTACACACACCTCTCTCAAACATTTTTCCCTCTTCCCTAGAAAAAGGAAGAATCCAGCTTCACGCCGGAAGATGCAGTTTTGGCATCTGTTGGCATCGTGAAGTGTAGCCCCGACCACGGGCTGCTGGTGTCAGAGAGCATGGTCTTGGCTCTGGAGGAGCTGATCCAAGCGTGCTGTGGTGAGTGGCGTGTGCTTGCTGAGGTTAGGGGCTTTAGGAGCCTGAAGAAAGGAAATTCATGAGGCTTTTCATGAGTTAAAGTTAGGGAGAGTGTGCCTTGTGGTAGGCACTGATTGAGGACCCTGTTTTTGTCCTAAATAGTGGGAGTCTTGAGTTCGTGTGTCACCTCGAGAGGGTTTGTGCCTCTCCTGCCAGACAGGCAGCTTGCTGCTGTAAAGGCACTTCCCAGTCTGATGTGAAAACTTTCATTTTGCTGTCTTGTAGCAGGTAGAAAACAAGCCCCTTACTTATCCAGCAACATCTAAAATACCATGAGCAACTGGAGTTCATACATGCTGGGTTGTAGTGCTGGAGCTTGCTTCTCACTTCAGGAGCCTTTCCCTTTACGCTGGTACACTTAACATACTTTTCTTTAATGGATTTTTTTTTTTCCGTTTAATTAAAATACATCCTAGTCAGACCACAGAGTCTGTAGGTTTTTTTCAGTTTGTGTTGGTTTTTTTTCCCAACAAATATTTGTAAATGGAGCACATCAGAATAACTGATAGCATTGGTCTGTTTCAGAGTATGTTTGTTTTTCCAGCGGAAGATGAAGGTGTCCCCGTGGTGCTGGTGTGTGGCCCAAAAAACACTGGGAAATCAACATTTAACAGATACCTAATTAATCTGTTGCTGAATCGGTGAGTCTTTCATGTTCTACAAGTTTTTAAGTACTGCATGGGATTTAAGAGAAGGAAAAAAAACTGCCTGCCAAGATTCTCAGAAAAGCTGTTACATCTGAAAGGTGGATATCTTTTAGAAACAAACAAAAAATTCAGAAAAATTGGCATTCTCATCTTGGGCTTCTTTCAGAAAAGTTGACTACTGAAACATTTCTATTGCAATGCTACTAAATCACTGTCTTGGAGTATGTGAACTAACTGGGCGCTGAGCAGTTAGGGTTCAATAAGGAACTGGCAGTTGTAACACTTAAAAACATGCAGTAAGTTATAATTTGTTAGTGTCTTTGAAGAATCTTGGCAGAGCAAGGTGTAGAAGCTTATTCTCCTGACCACTGCATGCTTAAAATAAAGATTATAAAGTTTGTAAATCTCAAATGGCTGGTCTCAGGGTACCCAGTTAACATGGGAGAGGAAGTACACTGATCAGTACCACCTCCGATTATTGTTCTAGCTACATGCCTTAAAGCTGGGTGGGTATGGCGCTACTGTAATATAATATTGAATTGTAGGTGAGCCTTTTATGTTTTTGCTTAATACCCTCTCAAGTGAGGGAAGGACAGAGACAAGCGGTGGTTTGATTGTATTCAAGAACTTAGTTTTGAAGACCCGGAACAAAATGAGATCGTGCTTCTCATGTGTTCCAGGTTGTGTGCTGTCTCTTTTGTTAGTGGATGCTAATGTACAGGCTTCTTTCACTGCAGCCTTCCCTCAGTTGAATATATGGAATGTGACATAGGTCAAACCGAATTTACGCCGCCTGGATGCGTGTCTTTAAGTAACATAACAGAGCCAGTTCTTGGTACGTGTTTTGCCGTTTTCTGCAGTTGCCAGAAACCTGTTTCGTTTCCAGAAGGTGCTTTCGGAGTAGAGGCTGTAATTTAGAGGAAGTTGCCACATCTGTCAAAGGTGCATATAGAAAATAAAAGAAAGGCTGTTAAAGTTTTCTTGCTAGGGGCATCTAAGCTCCATGTGAAAATGTCACTAAGTAACACGGAGCTATTCTCCTTGCTTGTTTTTCCTGTTCTAAAGAGAGAAGATAGTTGTTTATAAGGTGGTGGAACAGGCTGTGGCATGTCAAAGTGGATTTTCAGCCTTTCAGATTTGAAAGGTCTCTTTGGGAAAATCTTTCCCAGTTTTTAGTATCTGTAGATAAAACTAGTTTGAGAAATACAAAGTGGATCCACATAGGTTGGGGGCTGTTATGAGTGTAAAAAAGCTAGAGCCAGAGAAATTGTTGGTATCTGTGGTCTTGTGGATTTAGGTCACTGTCTAAAAAGGATATGGCCAGACTGGTTTACTTTTTGGATAGTCTCATAAAAGACTGTTGTTTTAAAACTTAGAAGTGTGTAACCAGTCATTTAAAACAAACAAGAAAAAAAAAAACCGAACCCCCGAACAAACAGAACTCCTAGCATGGAGTCTTGCAAATGACAGAAAAGTTTCTCCATAGGTGCAGGCTGTACAAGACTGTTAGCATATGAAAAGAAGACAGATTATTTTGGAAGGGATTGCGTGTAGGTGCTACAGGGATGGGATTTTTTTTTTTTATTTGACTTACTGAAACCACTAGAGGTTGTTTGCTTTTTCAGGTCCACCGTTCACTCATCAACAAACGCCACGTAAGATGGTATATTATGGACAGACTAGTTGTGAGCAGGACACAGAAAGATACCTTGATGTCGTGAAGTATGTGTTCAGCTCCTATAAGAAGGAGGTGCCCTTAGTCATCAACACCATGGGCTGGGTGAAAGGTAAACAGGATAAATCAGTTCTCTAGAGGTGGTGCGGAAGGAAGGTAATAATCGTAGTGGTACACTGCCACGCTTTCTAGAGAGCCTGGAACCAGAAAATACAGCTTACTCCCCTTGAGCTAGTGCTGGTTTTCCGTAACAGTGTTCTGACCTGTTTATGTCGCGGCAGCAGTCATGTTTTCTCTGCTCCTTAAAGGTGAGGGGTTGCTGCTTCTGATTGATATCATTCGGCTGTTGTCACCCAGTCACATTGTTCAGATGGATGTGTACGACTGGAAAGCCATGGCTCCGCTCACCCCGGAGTACGTTCATCTCACTCCTGGCCTGTACACCAAAGGCAAACAGCAAGCTAAATGCAAGCGGATGCGTACGAGTGGAGTGGAGGACTGGAAGACCTCTGAAGGGGAGGGAGATGCATCGGTTCCCGAGTATAAGTTGCTGTACGTCCATCCAGAATTCCCTCGAGCAGGGGTTGCAGGTGAAGCGTAAGTAGAAAGTTTAGTGCTACGTGGTGGTTAGTGGGCTTAGCAAAATCGGGCGCAGTCCTGACCGTAAAGGTTCTTTCGTTGGCCTCGAGAACTCCTTTAAACTGCTCAGAGCTTACTAATTTACTTATTGGGGGATATGTTTGGGTGTTGGTTTCTTGGGTTTTCTGGGTATTGTGTTTGAGGGGAGGTTTGTGTAGGGTTTCTTTTTTGGGTTTGGGGGCAGGGGGTTGTTCCTCCCTACTCTACTTTCAATGACTTCTGTCAGCTACTTTTACACTGGGCATGACTTCCACTTGGAATCACAAAGTCTCCTTTTTTTGTTTTTTTTCTAATTGGGAGGTTCCTTCCCCATTTCTTACAGACCTAGAGGATGATCACATTATTTCTTAATTTCTCTGATACTTTGAGCATCTCTGAAATGTTTATTTGCATAGACCTTGGGTCTTTCTTGCCAATTTTAAATGCTTTTTTTGACTCGGCCTTCACTAGTGAACTTTTTAAGAAAACAAATGTATTGCTCTGTCTCGCAACTGACTGAAAGGTGTGTGGACATCAGGGTTGGAGAAGGGAGCCGTTATCTAATTTGTGACTTTTTAAAAAAACAAAACAAAACAAAATCAAAAAAAAAAACAAAACAAAAAAACGCACCACACCGCCCTTGTTAATGAATGCCTTTTTAAAGTTGAAACAATTCCCTAAATCCTGTGATGCCGTAGAGGTAATAAAAACATAGCTTTAAATTTTCTTCAGTGGTAGAAGTTTTAAAAACAAAACTGGTGTGAAATATTGGCTAATACTGCATGGTGTACTGGGGAGTACCTGTACTGGTGTACTGTGGAGTACCTGGGTTATCTGGTTTGAATCGCGGTGTCAGGGTGTGCTGCCTTTCCTTGACTTGTTGCCGTTGTTTTTCCAGGCGAGTACATAGCGGCATCTTGCGTGACATGTCCATACTGGGTTACCTGGGTCAGCTGCAGTCCCCAGACATAGGGGCAGTGCTTCCGCTGCACAGTCTTGTGCCCTATCAGGTAAATGAGTGTTTTTGAAAGACCTGGAGATGTTGCAGAGAGCCTGGCTTGTAGTAATTGACAGTTCTGCTTGTACTGCAAGTGTTTTTTGGAAGAGGGAAAAACTCTCTAATCTGCAGAAAGAACGATTTTATTCAGTGTCTCTAGATGTGAGGTTTTTGTTGTGAAGTCAGTGTGGCATGTGTTTTCTCTGTGTTCAGTTGTTAGTTTTGAAACTGTTGTGTTTGCCACTGAGATAATGCCTGTCTGTAGGTGTGGGTTGGGAGCTTTTGGGTTTTGTGTACTTAGCGTTATCTTACCTCTGAACTCAAAGAAATTGATGTTGAGCCGATGAACAGGTTTTTTTCTTCCTTTTTTTTTTTTTTTACCCCCTCAGGTACCTTTCAGTGCAGTTGCGCTCAGGGTTATTCACACTGATGTGGCTCCTACCAACATCATGTATGCAGTGAATGCCAGTTGGGTTGGGCTCTGCAGGATACCAGATGAAATCAGATGCCAAACTGACGGGCCAGTCTTGCTGACACAGACACCGGTCTGTGATTGCCTTGGCTTTGGTGAGCAAGCCAGGGAAACCTTGAGCTGCGTTCTCACCTGTCGTGTTTTGACAGATGGGTTGCAGAGTTGACAGAATTGCCTACTCTTTCAAAAACATTGAAAAAGTGGAATGAGAGAAAAGACTAGTTGTGTGTTCTTTTCTGTTACAAGCTGTGCTTCAAGTCCTTTGGTTTTCATTAACTTGCAGTAACAACTATGGGGAGTGTCACTGAGTGGCACCTTTTGTAGCTTGCTTCTCTCTTTCGTAACTTGACGATTTGCTTTCTGGATTCATGTTATCAAAAGTGGATTCCACGTGGCTCATGCAAAATTCCTTTAGTTGTCTGTGAGTTTCTTTCTCTTCTACGACTCAATTTAATGTTACCATTCTGGCTTGGAGTTTGGTACTGAGCTCCTTGAGTGTCTGTAGGAATGTACCAGTGAAAAACAATGCACGGTTTGGGAAGTAAGCTGTTTGTATGTACGCTGAGATACTGGAGGAGCAGGATACAGCAATGCAGGTTTTTCTCAAGCTGTATCTCAAATGCTTCTCTCGGCTCTAGAAGAGCCATTTAGTCAAAGAGCTTCGTCTGTGTCTGGTTATACAGTCTGAAGTGATCAGCTGGAGTTAAGACTGAACTTGGCATGTATTTCTTATAATTTTTTTTTTATTATTTTTCAGGAATTGTCCGAGGGGTTGAGATGGAGAAGAAGCTTTACCATGTTCTGACACCGGTGCCGCCGGAGAACCTGAGACTAGTGAATTGTCTGCTCCTTGGAAATATTGCAATCCCCAACTGTGTTCTTGTGGGCCAGGTAGGAGCTGTACAGGAAGAGAGAGGGTGGAAGCTGGCTGAGCTTAGGCTAGCTGGCAGGTTTTCCATTTTCTTATTTCTGAGGCTTATGCATGCCCGGAGATGTCTAGGCATTAGCAGATGGTTATCTGTCTACAAAATTGTTCTTAACGCATAGAAACAAGGGAGAGGAGAACATTCTTCTCATGTTTCAGTTACCAGCATGGGGTTGGTTTGGTAATAGCTTGCTCCTTTCCACCGGTCAGCTCTGTCAGCATGTAGAGGAAAGTGCTTCCCCTTCCATTGGAAGATACAAGTTCTTAAAGTTGTTTCTGGTTTTGTTTCTCCCCTTTCCAGCAAGGAATTGAAGGAGAGATCCCCTACGTCACATCCGATTATAACTACAGTATCTTGGGGTCTGGGAAGCTGAAGAAGAAGAAGCATTTCAAGAGGAGGGAGTACGCATTTGAGCGTGATTCTGCCTAAAGCCTTGAGAACCTTGGACCATGGGATTTGTTTTGTACGGAGAAAGCCAGGTGTGGTCAGAGAAGCCCCGGGTGCTACAGAGCTCCAAGGGACCCTGGGCAGGTGCACAGTGTAGATACTAAAGCATGTCTGGGTTTTATAATGTTTTATATTTTCAGTTTGTATTCTAGTGTTTTGTAATAAATATCTATTAAAAACATTGGTTTGAATTTTTTCCTCAGCCTGTGTTGACTTGGGTATGACTGATAGAACCTGGGGGTGGTTCCCATCAAAAGCGCGCTCTGCCTTGGACCAGCAGCAGTTCTCCATTTGAAGTCCAGCCTTCGGTTAGCTCCGGGTTTCGGAGCATGATCCGCGGTGGTGTGAGCATGGCTTTGCAGTAGCCGTAACCCTGTGGTTTGGGGAAGGGGTCATGCCGGCGGTTCTCTCCCTGGCGCTGCAGCTCACCCGTGTCTTCGGGTGTTTCACTTCTTGAGGAAGTGGAGGAGGAAAGAGCAAGTTAGAAAATCCCCTCTCTTTTCCCAGGTGCCCACAGAGAGAGCCGCTGGAGGGAGTCAGCCGCTTGGCTCTGAGCTGTCGCAGCTCGCCTTGGTGACGGCCCCGCGCAGCCCTCTGCGACTGGGGACACTGCTTTATTCCGCTTTGCGGCTGGCTCTGGCTGTGTACCCCGTTGCTACGGTTTTAAATTCGACGCCGTGAGCGCAGGTCTGGGAAGAGCTCTGGGTCTCGCTCAAATGTGTCACCCAGCTCTGTCCAAATAGGTTGTGCTGCGGGTAGAGGCTAAAACGAGATGAAAGTGAGAGGGGACTCGTTACCCACGTGCTGCACGGAGCACCGGGGTGCTTGGTCTTGCCTGATTCCTGATGCCCCACCAGGAAAGACTCGAAGTTTAGCGTTTGGTTGTTTTTTTCCAGCTCTCTGTTGAGACAGCAATTTACTCCTGAGTGAAGTTGAGGTTGGTGGGAGTCACACAGAGGTGAGTGAGCATCTCGGGCTGAGTTGAGGACCTTTTTGGGAAAACCGCTTCTAAATGGGCAATGCCAGCACGTCAGGCATTTAATGGATCCAAGACTACAAAAATAACGCTTGTAACGGCGGTTCCTGCTAACACGGCATGGCCCCGCCTGTATCCCAAAGCAGGGGGACAGTCTGGCCCCAGGGTTTGCAGCCCCCCGAGATGAGTGCCCATACAGATCCCCTGAGGCCCGGTCTCTCCTGCGGAGGAAGGAGGGATGCAGCACACCCTGGATCTTTTCGGCTGGCAGCTGCTGTGGGCATGAGTAATCTGCAAAAAATGCTTTTATCTGGTTTGCGAGGAGATTCCCTAGCGCTCCAGAAATGTGTACCTGTAAACGAACAAATTAAATGGGATGACTAGCGGGGAGAGGTCAGAGCTGGAGGGGAGCTGTGAGGGGCTGTGCGGCGTTTCTGCCTTTTAAAGAGTTAAAGCTTTAACTTAATCCAGGCCTAATTATCCCCATCTGGCTGGGTCTGGTGGTGAAGGAAGGACTTGGCTGACAACCTGGCCCAAACAGTGGCTAAAATAAATACAGGGGCCGGCATGTAGCTGAGGGAGGAGAATCCCAGGCGGGGTGAGGTGGGAGTTCAAGTTGCGGCGGAGCGGGTGGAAAAGGTGCCGGGAAAGGTGAGATGGGTGAGCGGCACGGGTGAAACGCCCAGCACCGAGCATCCCCCTCGGTGCTGTCACTGGCCCCCCAGCATCTGCCTGCCTTGGCCAAGGGTGACGGATCCCACGGTGGCTGGGCGGGGGTGCCCCATCGGAGCCCGGGGATGAGTGAGTAACCCCCGTGTCCCTGCGCCAAGCGTCAAGTGTCCGGTTTTGGACCTTTACAGGGGGGGACTAAGCTGCCAGTGCCTGCCGGGACCCGGAGGGTGATGCTGCGGCCTCGGGCGAGGGGGACCACACTGGCTCCTGGCACTCACCATGGGTCTGCAGCAACGGGGTGGCTGGGGTCTTTGGAGCACGAACCCTGGCATAGCGTCTGCTGGCAAGGGTGGCGGCACTGGGTACTGTGATCGATAGGAAATCGGTTACTTAGCGCTTAAAACATCAAGGATGTGCTAAATAAAGCA